AGAACAGTAGGCAGAGGTTCTGCTTCCACTCTGTGGAAATGCCCTCAGTTCCCTTAAAGATGAACATAGGTCAAGAGTTGATTTCGGCCTCTAGGATCATTCAGAGATCATGAATAGCTACTCGGGCCAAGCATGTGCTACTCTGTGAGCCAAACTGACTCCTAGAAGGCAGATCCTTGAAAGGTCAGGGAAGCTTAGAAGCCACAACCCCAGAGTTAACTAAGAGGAAAGAAGATGTAAGCAGAGAAGGTTGGAGGCAGCTGTGACCACTGTGCTGACTGAGGTAACACCAGAGAGATAAAGCAGGTCACAGGAGAAGGGATGGTCACACTGCCCAGAACGACAACCAGACTGGCCCATAAGCTCAGACATCCTTTCTGGGACCAATTTTTGTGCATCTGTGCCACTCTTGGCTGACAGTGAAAGAATTTGTGTTGATGGCATGTTAGAAAGACCCCCCAAGAAATTCAGAACATGGGTCCATGATGTCCCATTCAAGATTGCCAAACTCCAAATGTCACCACCACTTCCATCACTGATAGAGAAATATCTGTGTCGCATTGTAGAATGGGATTTCTCATCCACATCTCCTTCAGGGTCTTATAACCACGAGGTGAGTCAGGGAGGGCAATTTATGGAGAGAACAAGAAACTTAGAGTCACACAGACCTGGGCTCATGTCCCCGGTTCCACTATTTACTGGCCACGTGAGTCTGGCCAAGTCACTTAATCAATGTGATCCTTAGTTCTTACATCTGAAATGGGTATAAATAATTATACTTACCTCACAGGATTTCTGTGAGGATTAAATGTGAAATGCTCTTGACAAAAAGTTTTGAAACAAACACACTATACAAATACTAATGATTACTGGTATTGTAGATGAGGAAAATGGGGCTCAGGAAAATTAAGTGACTTACTCAAGGTTACATGGTTGGAACATGCTGGAGCAGCTGAACAGGTGTTTGCATTAAACCACAAGGGTCCAAGGGTATTTCAATTACAGCACACCCTCTACCCACCCTGATGCACCCACTCCAGGAGACGCCCACTCATCCCATGGGGTAGCCCGAGAAGGGCTCATCATGATCCCACACAAGCAAAGGCAGCCACCCAGCGGTGTGAAAGCCCATGACGCTTCCCTTGAGGCGTGGGATGGGATGCTGCTGAGCACCATGAGCCTTGCCCAAGCCCCGCGATGAGCTCACAGTGACAAGGAGCTGCGATGAAGACACAGGTGGCCTGGCAGCCGGCATGGAGTGCAGAGGGATGGAGGAAGCACCAGAGCATGGAGCTGTGAGTCAGGCACATGGCGCGCATAATGGAGGTCTCCTTGGTTCAAAGGTAGACACAGAGGACTCACGACACGGACAACACAGCAACCCTACCTTCTGTGGCTCCTTTGCCTTTCCTGTCAGGGATCTCTAACCCAGTGCCCCCTGAGGGATACAGGGAGACGTCCGTTGGCACAGGCCAACTGCTGGCTGTGTCCTCCGTGATCTCATACATCTGCCCCTCCATCGGCTGCAGGTGCCAGTTTAGGCCAAACAGGTGCATGGCTGTGGTGAGCAATGAGAAAAGTCATCTTTTTCTGCTGGAGGCGGAAATGGAACTCCCAATGCCACAGGGGAGGGCAGGTGAGGGTGGGGAACACAGGAATTCAGTTCAGTTTAGTTTGACAAAGCGCCCCTGAAGAGAGCTCTTGTGGTGCCGAGCCCTACATAGGGGACTGGGGTGCAGAGATGCTCCAGGCACAGGACCCTGCCCTTGGGGGCTCATGGTCTAGTGGACCTGGGAGAGGGGCAGGGGTGGGGGAGCTTCAGAACATCGTGGCCTTTTGCTTCAAAAGATATATAACAATCTAGAGGGAAAAGCTGCAATTTGTATCACGAAGGGTTAATTTCCTTACTATAAAAATAACTCCTACAAGTAACAAGCAGAGCCCAACAACTCCGTAGGAAAACAGGCATAGGGTATGAACAGGCAGTTTACAGAATAAGAAATGCAGTTGGCTCTCAGTCCTCTGAAAAGACTCTAGACGTCACTCGTAGTAGGAGAAATGTAAGTCAAACGTTGGAATACTGTTTTTCACATATGGTTTGGCAAAGATAAAAAAAGGTTGAAAATACACAGTATTGGAAGAGAACAGGAAATCAGCACTCTCATACTTCGCTGGTGTGAACATAAGCTGGTGCAAACCCTGTGCAGGGCAATTTGACAAAAGCTATCATATTTAAAATACACATACTCTTTACTCTGGAACTTAGAGGTTCCAATTCTCCTCCAGATATGCTCACACACATGCTAACTGATGTACATACAAGGTTATTCACTGCAGCATTGTTTGTAACAGCAAAATATTAGAAACCAGTCCATCAGTAAGGGGCTAGATAAGTTATGTCTATACAATATACTGTGCAACCAGAAAAGAGAGTAAGGAAGCTCTTTGTATTTTTCCGGATGGAAAATTGTAACATGCAGAACAGTGTATCTGATATACTACCTTTGGGTGAAAAACAATTCCTATGTATGTACAGAGTATTTCTGGAAGGATATGAAAGACCCTGGTAACAGTGGGTGCATTCTATGAAGGAAACATGTTAAGGGTCTGGGAAAGGAGAGAGATTTGCTTTTCACTGTATATCTATTGTACATTTTGATTCTGTGTATTTTTGTGATTTTGTACAATTTTGTGATTTTGATTTTGTGCATTTCTGTTTTAAAAATATTTTTCCAAGGTAGCAACGGTTAAATACCCTTGGGCAACAATCTAGAAGAGACCACAAGACACCAAAGAATGGACATTGTCCCTTGAGATACACAATGCTTGAGAAGGCTGAGAAGTCTCTTTCCAAAAAGGTTTGCCATCCAGTACAAAGTGTCTGCTTAAATCTCATTTAGGATTCAAGACTTGAGCCTTATCAATGGTCCATACTTACCTCTTTTGGGATGCCTTTCTTGATTCCCCACATACAGAGTTAAGTACTCCAGTCCCTGACCCCCACAGCATCCTGTATGTGGCACCACTCCTTTGTTCAGTCCATGAACGTTTTCTACAAGTCCACTCTGTGCCAGGACCCATGGCTGACCCTGGGGAGCCAGAACTGAATAAGAAACCCTTGCTTCCACACACTCACAGTCAAGTAGTCAGAAGGATTAGAAAGCCCAGAGGAGGGGGTGACTGACACTAGAGGGGTCAGAAGAACACAGAGAAGGATCTATAGGGATACGAACGCCCAACGTAATCATGTTTACTGAGGACCAACTGTGTGCCAGGCAGTGTTCCAGGTGATTTGTATACATTATACCTAATCCTCACAGCAACCCTGCTAGACCCAATTTACAAATGTGCACATTTAATTAACTCAGACAGTTAACTAAAATTGTGGTAATCATAAAACTGACTTCTTGAGTGCTTGCCATGTGGCAAGCACTGTGCTAAGAGTAGTAAACACAGTATTTCCTTTAACTCTCACAACAATCCTAACAGGAGATAATCCCATTTGCTGATGAAGAAACTAAGACACAGAGACATCAATTAACATTTGGAAGGTTCAATGTCTAACAAGCAGCACAGTCTAGACCAGAATCCCCAACTGTTTCAATCCTGAAATCATACCATCCGTCTTGCAGACCAGAAGGCCAGGCTCTCCCCACTTCACCACTGCCTTTCATTAGCTGTATCTAGCAAAGCGGGTGGGCCTTCTAAAGACATCCCCTTTTACACATCAAGCAGCCTCCAAGGCTCTTCCATGCCTTTTTAGGTAGCAACACAGGATCCTGCGAGGAAGACAGACAGCTGTGTCACTTGGCCCCAGTTCATGGAAGAGGTCATTGATGGCGGTCTTGAGGGGCCGTGTGACTGTCTTCAAGACCCAAAAAAGTGTGTAGAGGAGACTGGAGCTTCATACATTCTTCCGATTCCTGATCCAAACACAAGCCACCAAGGAACACACCCAAGTTTGACTTAACCAGGAGGGTGAATGCTGGTAACAGAAATGGAATCTGACTGTCTGCTTTCTCTTTGGTTACTGTGGTGCAGGGGACAGTGTGCTGTACCAAGGGCAAGAAAGCCCTACCTGCCACTTCCTTGCGACACGCATTCTCATCTGAGAACGGGGATGAAAATATTTCAAGGGATTACTGTATCATAAGAGATAATACATCACAAAGTGCTTTGTAAACTGTGCATGTGTGATTATTATGTTTTATGATGGTTATAGTCATACTGTTGAGAATACTGCTAAAGTAGCAGCTAACTTTCATAGAGCACTGTTTAGGCACCAGGCGTTAAATGAGGTGCTTTACACTGCTGTTGACTCTGTGTGGTTGACAGTAATAATAAAATTAACCTGCCTGTTAGAAGTGAATACACTGCTTTTTCCAAGGCTGAATTAGCTACCATATCTGCTTACCTTCTTACTGTTTTAATCTATATATTGGCAACTCCAAAGGTAACGGAGAAATTGTTTGAACGACAGACAACTCAGATACATGCAGTTAAATGAGCAGTGCTTCTTTCCCCGTTAGAATCAATTATCTCATCTAAGTGTGCAAAAGAGCTGTCTTGTTAAAAGGTCAGGAGAATTAACTAATCCTGGGATGAAAGGAACTCTCACAGCTTTGTGAAGAGAAACATTTTTATTGTCAAAGCTTTCTTTCATTTTTAACAAGATGCAAAAGCAAGTTCTTGCTTTAAAACATATGCGGAGGGGGAAGAAAAGCCAGTGAAAAAAGTGTTCCAGGTAAAAATGACACAAGATCTGGGGACACAGGGAAGTCAGTAAGGGCAGGACAGTCCACAGCTAGATGGGGGAGGGCAGTCAGCCAAAACTTAGGGGTGCACGTTGGCATCCCTTCCTCTCAGCTCAGGACCCCCTACCCTGGCCACCACAGAGGCCCACACAGTTGTGCGGCTGGCTGGTCTCTCTTGGTGACCTGTGGAAGATGTGCTCCAGGAAACCACCTGGGAAGGCCAAGTTCTGGATCCAGCTCAAACCTGGACTCTCTCAGGAGACTCAGTCATCCAGACATAATTCTGGAGGCTGGTGGGGAGGGACGTGAATATAGGACTGCTCAAATTGGCTGAGAAATAGCCAGCTGAAAAGTAAGATTTAGAGAGAGGGGTAGGATGGTATGCAGTCAGAGATGTGACAATCCACCAATAATGTTGTTTAAAGCCAAAATAAAAGGGACCCTTACTCAGTCTGTGATCCACGGTCTCAAATATAAGTCATGCTGAGGGCCCCTCAATTCTTTTACTGTATTGTTTGATGGGTGGTTAATTGTATGGTTCTGGGTTACAGGGGACAGGGGGAGAGAAGGAAGGGAAGTAGTTTGCTCCGGTCTCTTCCCAAAGGACACAGTGCCACTCAGTCAGAGACAGTTCAAGAAATATCTCAGCTCAAGCAACCACTCTTTTTTATCCTTGATAATACTCAAAATGTAACAACAGTAACTCAAACGTGGTACCATATGAGTGCGTACTACATGCCAAATGCTTAATTTATATTATTCAGTTGAATCTTCGTGGAAAGAGAGATTGCAAAACCCATTATTGGAGAATGGGTCCAACAGAACTGAACAGATATTGAGCTAGAAGAATATATTCTGATTTACCCAGAGTAGTTACCTCACATCACAGAGCTGGTAGAAATTTGAGACAAGTTTTAAACTCAGGAGCCTGTGTTCCCTGGTCAAGCTTTCTCTTTTACACATTTTATTTTAAATAAAAGGTAAAATATGTGCAATATGAAGCCACCAGCAAATAAAGGCTGAAATTGATGTTTGGGGGTCCCAGTGCTGATAATAAATATTTCCTGCCCCACAGCAACAATCATGTAAAGCTGTGGACAGCAGTAAATGCATGCTATCCAATGACTTGGAAATAACAGCCGTGGATCCAAAAAAAATTAAGAAATATAAATGGTCCTCCCTAGCCCGCTTTAAGACCAGATCTCTGAAACAATATAAATTATAATCATCATAATCCCTTTTTTCAGAGGAATTAATGGTAACCACCAATGTACATCATAGGATTATCTAAATTACATCCTGCGTTGTGTATTTATAACTGTTTGTGCAAAACTCTCCCAAGTACGTTGAAAGTGACCTAAATAAGAAAACTGATACTAGTGTTCCCTTCAAACTAGTCTGTAATTCAATGAAAAGGTGAAAAGATGAGAAAGAGTTCAGGAAAAGGCTGTGGAAAGGTAGGGAGTTCACAGGATCACCCACACTGAAATGTTAATGATTTCTAAAAGCAAGGAGAGCCAGGGTGGATGAAGTTTCTTATTCCCTCAGCTCTGGTCAGTCTGATCCCAGGGCTGACATTTTCCAGTTGCCTTTTCCTGTGCAACAAGACATGAGAGATGGCCGGGAAAGTGCAAGATCTCACTTGACATTTTTAAGAAAAATGCTCAATAGATGTTCAGACATTGAAGGCTCCCCCCCAGGACCCAGCCAGCAGGAGGCAATTAACAAAGTCATTATGCAGGAGTCACCGGTGTAAATGTAGGAGAGTTTCCACTGTCACAGGCACACTTCGCTTCCAAAAATT